TCACAACATGCAGAGATGGAGTTTGAGACGCTCCACACATGTAAATGATAACAGTTCCTGTGGAACTACTGTGAACAGAGCCGCTGTGACGCATGTACTTAACCTACACGCATGTAAATAATTAAAGCGCATATACTGTATTAGAACTGCATCGTATATAATTATTGAATTAAATCGTAGCATTTGTGAATTCATATTAAACCCATTTAAAAATCATAATTAAGCATAATTATATCATGCATCCTTGGGAAACAGTCTAATAATGTGTTTTATGGATTCTCGTCCGTGAAAAGTAATAATGTATTCTAGGTTCACCTTATTCAAGGTAAAAAAAAAAAAAAGAGGGATTATTTGTTATTAACTGACATCAGTTATATGGAATCTAATGCAAATTAGATAATCATAAATTGACAATACACTAATGCCAACGGTCTCTGGAAAGAGGTTTGGAAAGAGTAATATTTACATTCCACCTTGTCATGTGCTGAGTCTGAGCGGCAACGTCTTCCACTTGTCGTTGCAGTGGAAGGAAAGGATTGGATCCGTTTCACAGTCTTGAACATGAAGCACTGGTGGATGATGAACTCCTGAGCACCGAGAAGGTTTTTTGGTCTGGATCACGCAATCCGGAGCCTTGAAGGTGAACGTTCTGAAGTCTGTACAGAAGATCCGGACTACCTGGAACACGCAGGAGGGAGGATCATTGACGTTGACTTTCTGAAGTCGTTGCAGAAGATCCTGGCAGTTTGGAACTCACAAACAGAGGATCGCTGAAGAGACAATTCTGAAGTCATTGCAGAAGATTGGGGGGGCACTAAGCTTGTGGTCATTGTTGCTGTGGCAGCTTCCAACCTCCTCAAAGTCCATTTATTTATTCATTAATGGGATTAATATACATGACAACCCTTCAAACGTCAAAATTTTTGCTTATTCATGTTTTTGTCAAGCCAATATTTAAAGTTCATCTTGACAGTCTTTTTACCTTTGCCATTGTAAAATTGTGTTTATTGCAGTTGGATGAATTTTAATTTTAGTTAATGTAATATTAACTCTTAATTACGCAGATACTGATTTAGAGTCTTGTTCACTCAAGCACAAGTAAAGAACATGTCCGGCTGTTTGGCCATCCATTTATTTATTAATTTTATGGGATTCAACCTTAAAAATCTTTACATTTAGTCATTGTTTGTCAAACCAATATTTAAAGTTTATCTTGACAATCTTTCCCATCTTAAAATTACAGTTTGGAAATTTTTTAATTTGTAGTTAAATAATTATTTTTTATTATTTAAGTTCCTTTTTTGTAAATTTGAATTTGAATGGAATTCTACATTCCATTTGCTATATCAATTCAAATGTAATTAAATTTGATGACATTCCAGACATTCATGTTACAGTAAGGATTTTAATAAAATAATTTAATAGAAATGGCACTCTTTAAAAAGAAAATTATTACAAATTGTTCAAATGTTTGCCATTTTAATTGTATTAATTTCCTGAGCGGCAAAGTCTTCCACTTGTCGTTGCAGTGGAAGGAAAGGAGTTGGATCCGTTTCACAGTCTTGAACACAAATCACTGGTGGACGATGAACTTCTGAGCACAGAGAAGGTTCTTTGGTCTGGAACACACAAACCGGAGCCTTGAAGGTGAAGGTTCTGAAGTCTGTACAGAAGATCCGGACTACCTGGAACACGCAGGAGGGAGGATCATTGATGTTGACTTTCTGAAGTCGTTGCAGAAGATCCTGGCAGTTTGGAACTCACAAACAGAGGATCGCTGAAGAGACAATTCTGAAGTCATTGCAGAAGATTGGGGGGGGCACTAAGCTTTGTGGTCGTTGTTGCTCTGGCAGTTTCCAAACTCCCTTCTTGCAGAACTTCCTTGTTTCTCCGGCAGAGCAGCTTAGCTCTTGGCTTAGCTTCTGTGTGGTGGGGTCTACTGCTAACTTAGCAACAACATCTTACTTAGCACACAGCATAACTTGGCACACTTCTTTGTTTTGGAGAGAACCTTTTGTTCCTTCCCTGAGAAGGCAGGTTTTGCAAGTTTGCAAGTTTTCCTATGCATTATTCACTTTCCAAACCAATTCCAGATTAACCTACATATTGTGCTGAAAATAGGAAGACCAAACATCAATGGGTAATGCTGAGCACTGACCCATGCATTCATATATACAGTATATAACTTGATAGGTAATGTTGCATACCTTGTTGTATCACACAAAGCACTCATTAAGTATATAAAATTCTGTTAAGTGATGTTTTATTAACACATTTCGGGAGGAGCACGTGCAGATAATTAACACGGCCAATCCATCATCAGTAATTACACCATCTATCCAACCGGCACAAGAGAGAACCCCTATAAATAATCAAAGCAGTCCTACCTTCACTATTTCTAGTCTTTCAGCATTGGCACATCCAATCGCCGCAACATGTCATAGATTGAACTATTCCCGGACGATAACTCTTTTGACACCACGGGTCCTCCGGCGTCTCCAGTCGCCGTTCAGCGCACCAGCGCTCCGCAGGACACCATAATCGAGCCCGCGGCTGCAACACGGGGCCACCGGCCTTCCCACGCCGCCGTCGCTCATACCTTCAGACACCGAGGCACGACATCACCTTCGTCTTCCAGGCGTCAGCCATCTTCTCCAGCGTCCTCCTACGCTTCAGCCCTCTCCTCTACCCCAGCTGCGGAGAAATGGACCATGGCAGGACTACGTCAGGTGCTCATCAGCTCCGGCGACAACGTCCCACGACGGCCGGTCAAGGCGGATCTCCTCGTCCTCTATACTTCCCTCCAAACAGGGGTGCCTTCAAGCTCCACTCCTCCGTCCAGGGCAGCAATGCTCCATACTC